AAAATGATTCTCAAACTTGATTTTTATCAAGTAATTGCTATGAAAGAGCCGTTACCATTTTCTTTATGATAATACATCCGGCCATTTTCATGAGTGGGTGTGACTTAAAATTTGAGTTCAATTTTGTAACTCTCTTGATTCATTTATGCTCATAATTTATGGCATTCAAGCAAGTTATTTTGTAACTTAAAAATGAAATTGAATGTTGAAAATTTTGGAGGGAGAATAAAATTTAATGCATGATAATAAAATTAAATGATGTGATGCTTTAAATTATATATTTATAGATTAGAAATGTTAAGTTATATTGGGCTGCAATTTATGATCTATGATTTATATTTTAATAAAATAAGGGTCTGGTCCATTATCTACCTTCTAGAAAAAGAAAAAGAAAAAGAAAAAGAAAAAAGAAAAGATTGGTTCATTCAATAATGCCAGAGCCCGGTTGCAAGGAACCCAAAAAAGTGAATGAAGTAGATACTGTTATTCATCACCATATGTTTAGGTTTTCCAACTAAAAACACATTTTTGTAGACACTTATAAATGAAACCCTTAATGACATAATTAGTATAATGTACATAATTCGATAAAAATTGAATGAATTGAAGAATTGAAAAGATAACTAAGATTTGATTTCGCAGCATAAGCCTCTATTCTCAAACTCTAAGCGCCCCAAAGGAAGGGCTAGTTTCAGACGTTCACTTCGATACTTCTCATACTAGAATTATAAAAATTGAATGAATTGAAGAATTGATGATAATGGGAAATGAATAAATCAAGTCTTTTCATTAATGTGTTTATTATGCAGAAGAATTAATACCTGAATTGAATTCATTTTCATTCTATATTTTCAATTATCAGTATTTTAACAAGAAAAATATTTATATTAATGTTATTCTTTTATTTATGATAATACTAAAATAATTTTATTTAAAAAAATTATACTAAATTTTAATATATATAACTATTAAATATATTTTTGTATTGTTACACTCATCTTATATTATAAATAAGTGGATTATAGTGAAAATATCTATTTTCACCCCGTTTTGAAGTCTTGTTAAATTTTCACACCGCCCAATAAAAAACTAAGTTTTTAACCCAGAAAGTGCGAAGGTTATGCGAAAACTGTCGCATATTCATCGCACAACTGTCCATATGCGAAGGTTATGCGAAACACTGTCGCATAACTGTCGTATATCAATTGCATAACTGTGCGAAGGTTATGCGAAAACTGTCGCATAGTCATCGCATAACTTTTCATATGCGAAGGTTATGCAAAAAACTGTCGCATAACTGTCGCATATCAATTGCATAACTGTGTGAAGACATTGTGCGATAAATATGCGACAATTATGCAATTGATATACGACAGTTTTTCACATAACCTTCGCATACGGACAGTTATGCGATGAATATGCGACAATTTTCGTATAACCTTCGCACTTTCTGGGGTAAAAAACTTAACTTTTTATTGGACGGTGTGAAAAACTTAATTTGTCTTTGTTATAGGGTGAAAAAGATTTTTTTCCTTATGTATTTATATACATAGTAACTAATAGAAATATATCATTACAATAAATTTCTAGAAGCATATGTAGCCAGATATAATTTTTTTTGTAATATAATTTAATTTATGAATAAAAATATAATATATATCACTACAAGAAAACACTTCAATTCCAACGAAAAATTTCAACGGCAAATATTTCCGTTGGAAATTCCAATGAATATTCCAACAAACTTAATTTTATGTTGGAAAAAGTGTTGGATGGTTGAGGAAATCCAACGGATTTTTTCCGTTGGAATAGCTGTAGGAATTTATTTTCATAGAATTTTCCGTTGGATTTTAGCTATTCCAACGGCCGTTTTTCCTACGAATTTTTATACGTAGGAATATCCGTTGGAATACCTATTCCAACGGATATATAAAGAATTCCAACAGAAATTTTCCGTTGGAATGTAAGATTTTTTTTTGTAGTGTATGGTTATATAGAAATAAAATAGATCATTCTAAATTATGTATAAATGCATTTGTTGAGAGTTTTATTTTTATATAAGTATTTAATATATCCATGTGAAGTAAAAAAATAAAATTATTTTTGAATATTTATTTCATTTTTTTTAAATAATTTTATTTAATATAACTTAATCATGATATATAATATATATTATATATTTATTATTTTTTGTTATTTGTTAATTTTATTTTTTGACTATTTGAATACTAAAGACATGGGAATGGAAAAACCATGCATTAGCTATGGAACAACTAATCCTATAGAGATGAGTTTTGCAATTCTCATTGCAACGATTATTCATTCCTAACAAATATACCAGTCATATATGATTAAGAATGAGTAAAAGAATTATCATTTCATTTTCATGTGACCCAACAAACCAATCATGCCATGTTCATCGACCCGGCCGGTTTTGGGACAGTTCGGGCCGGGCCGGGAGCGGTTCATTGGCCGGTTTGGCCCGTGAACATGTCTAGTAATGAGTACTTGATAAGCAACCCGTAAACCTGATTAAACCAAAATCTTACAAGAAATCTCATGGAAGCAAAAAAAAAAAAAAAATCCTTACTCCCCATGAAAAATCCACTACTTTTTCGCAGCTAAAAGTGTTGTAATGATGAAATCATCCATGCCATCTGCAAAAGGAAACATATGACCCGCGCCCGTTAACTCGTGATAGTGAACCCACGGAAGGTTACGGGCAATGTCCTGTTGCAATGTGACGGGGACAATTCGGTCCTCATCACCATGCCATAAGTGGACGAACGGACCTTCATCATCGTTTTCCGAAAATGGGTTCTTTAAATCCGTTGGGTCGAAATCCCATGTCCCAAACATGAATTCTAGATCACGGTGGAGGGACTCGAACTCCCCTTGTTGTCTTACCTGCGCCTGGTTGTGCCAAAAAAAAAAAAAACGCAAGTTCTTCATTTAAAGCAAATAAAAGACACTATATTTTACGTATACAACATGACATTTAGGGCGTGCTTAGATACAAATTAACTTGAGTTAATTTTAATAAAGTAGTATGGTTAGTGAGATTTTGAGTTTATACTAAAATAATTTTTAAGTAAAATAATTAAAATTGATTTGATGTAAAAGAAGGTAAGAGATGATATGAAGTGATTGTTAGTTAAAATTATGTGAGACAATGAAAAATAAGTTAAAGTTAATGTGATGTGTAAGAATGAATGATTGATATTATTTAATTATATTGATAATATTGAAGATAGTGAAGTTGGGTAAAGTTGAGTTAAATTTTGAGTACGGAAAACAAACACATCCTTATTTTTCTCAACAAGTTACACCCGAAACCCTTCGGAGGAGAGTGTTCGATAGATAAATACAAAGCCGAGGGGTATTTGTAGTTTTGTGATAGCTAGATTGTTGTAATTATGCAGAACTCAAGGGAGTGGATTCTGTAATTAACCTCAATCATATTTGTTCTCTTGTTTGAGAAGACATGGACATGACCACAAAGTTAAACTTGTTCATATCCTCTCTATATATAATTCCCGAATGCGCTGAGCCTACGTGGCTGCTTCTGGTGCTTCGGAATCCTATTCGGCGAAGAACCATGCTTCGTAATTAGGTTTGGATAAATAATATTGATATACTAATAATTAATAATCTAGGTTCGGGTATTCCATAAATATTATTTAGCTAACTTAGGTATTTTAATATCACTTTTACTAATATAACCCTTTAATTCTTTGTAATTTTACAAGTGAAGCACTAAGTGACTAATATATCCCTGAATTTTGATTTGTTTCCTTCATTAAGCTATTGAATTATAAATGTATTGTAAAAGTTGATAACTTTTGTATTTCTTATCGGTTTTACATATATAATATATCAAATTAATCATCTTTTGATGTCTTCGATTTGACATCCATATTGTATATACGAAATAAATAAATTATATATATCTTTATAATAATAATAAATAATAATATTTATTAAAATTTCATTAGAAAAATAAAATTATTCCCAATTGATATATTTATATGTAATGTAGTTATATATTGTAAGTTAAAAAAATTAGTATAATATAACACAAGTAAGTTGCACAAATAAAAAATGTCATAATAAATATATAATAATATATATTCTAAGGTATTTAAATTTTCAAACTACTTATTCTCATTAATTTTAAATTTTAAGAAAAAAATTAGCAAGCACCCGTGTAATACACGGGTGTTGTACTAGTACACTAAGGAATCG